TTCTTATTCTATTCATCTGTTTTATCTCAGTCTAGGAGGTTTTTTTTTTAATTTTTTCTCCTTCTTCACACTATCCTACTGTGGAGCGGAGGGGGTGAGGGGTGAGTGCAGGGCTGTGTTGTCCTCGTTGCCAGCAAAGGAGGAGCCATAAAAACCTGGGAGATGCTGTGTTATTGAAGACCTGATATCTGAAAGGCCAGATCTGACACAGTGTTGTGCAACAGCCAGACACAACAGGATCAAGACTGAGGACAAGTAGCATAATTCCAGAAAATTACCAATAAGTAGGATTGTGCAGCGCTACAGGCTGGGGGCAGAGTGGCTGGAGCTGCCTGGCAGAAAAGGACCTGGGGGTGTTGGTCGACTTTCGGCTGAACAGGAGCCAGCAGTGTGCCCAGGTGGCCAAGAAGGCCACCAGCATCCTGGCCTGTGTCAGGAACAGCGTGGGGAGTAGGGCCCAAGAGATGATGGTCCCCCTGTACTCGGCACTGGTGAGGCCCCACCTCGAGCACTGTGTCCAGTTTTTGGCCCCCTTCCATAAAAAAGACATCGAGTTGCTGGAGCGGGTCCAGAGAAGGGCAACAAAGCTGGTGAGGGGTCTGGAGCACAAGTCTTGTGAGGAGAGGCTGAGGGAGCTGGGGGTGTTCAGTCTGGAGAAGAGGAGGCTGAGGGGAGACCTTATTGCTCTCTACAACTACCTGAAAGGAGGGTGTAGAGAGGTGGGGGTCGGTCTCTTCTCCCAAGTAACAAGTGATAGGACAAGAGGAAATGGCCTCCAGTTGCATCAGGGGGTGTTTCCACTGGAGAGTAGGCTTTCATCCACCCATCCCTGGCTCACGGGCTCTGTCCTCCGGGTCACTCTGCCCAGGACTGATGCCAAGCAAACCAGGGAGCGCTCAGCACGTGGATTCCTGCTCGACTCACCACCTCGGTGCTGCTTCCCGCAGCTGCAGTAAGGGTGAGCCCAGGACGTCAGCAGTGGGCTCAGGGCTCTCTCGGGCAAGTCTCCCCCAGCCCTGGTGAGGAGGTCTCGGGAAGAGGTGTGTTACATGCCCCGGTGACATGTCCTCAGCATGGCCAAATGCTCCCTGACCCGCCTGTCGGCCTTGGTGTGCCCCAGGCCACCCTAGCTTTAGATGTTTAACAGAATTCTAGGTGGGGACACTGCACCCCTCCCTTTCTGTCTTACTGTCCTGGGTCTGGTGGGGATGGGGTCAGTTTTGCCCAGGACCCAGCACATACACAGGTATCCCATCCCATGGGAGCCATGCCCAGGGGCAGCTGGAGCATCCGGGGAAGGGACAGGCAGTCGGGGTGGGGGAGAGGAGGTGACCCCCAGGGAGGAGAGCGGTTTGGGGTGTCCAGGGTGCGAGTGTTGGTATCATAATCACAGTTGTATATTCCCCTGTCACTGTTATTGTTGTTGTTGTTTCTTGCTCCCTTCGCTGTTCTGTTAAATTGCCTTTGTCTCAATCCATGAGTTTTGCCTTTTTATTTTGATTTTCCCCTCCCGGTCACGACAGCGGTGGGCACCCTGGTCTGCGCAAGCAGCTGCACGTGGTCCTTTGTTGCTGTTGCTGAAGCCAAAACACGACAGTTACTTCGGGAGGTATTGAAAAAAATTGCCAATATCCACATAGGGAATGCTGGAAATCACGATGCTTAATGCTATCATTGCCGCGTCCTTGAAATATTTTTTTTTCTTCTCTCTCTCGTGCTGCTCTTGCGCACCTGAGGGCAGAGAGAGAGAGGTGTTGCAAAGGCAGGAGCTGAGCCCGTGTCTTGAGTCTGGCGGGGATGGGGTCCCCCCATCAAGCTTGGCCCTTGACAGGCAGCTACACGTCTCCTGCCCAGGACTTACTTGATTGGGCCAGGTCTGTCTTGACGATTGTTTCATCCAGAAGCTTGATGCTTTCGAGGAACTCCTGCAGGACAGCGTCAGCCTGTAGGGCCAAAGGTGGAAGAGGAGTCAAGGACAGAAAGAGCAGCTCAGGGGAAAATGGTTTCTGGGGGAAGGGGATGGGACATGGAGCTCTCCCCGTGAAGGGGAGCTGCTCTTGTTCCTACCATCACCCCCTTGCCAGGCACTTCCTGATATTTCTTCACCAGTGCCTGCTGGTCTCTTTCGAACAGCTTGTAACCCCCTGGCACAAAGTAGACACCATTAATGAATTTTCTGAACAGATCTTGGAAGAGGTCCCTGAGAGCAGCCTCGCAGTTGTCACGGGACACCTGCTTGTTGTCCCTGAGGAACTTCTCCTTGATCTCCTCCACCTGGTGCTGTCGGGAAAGATGCAGAGGGAAGGCATCAGCCCAGGCTGAGCTGCAGCCACCGCCCTCGTGCTGGGCAAAAATCATCCCTGTTGACAGGGCAACTGGGATCTCCAGTCCGTGGGGTAATGGGCCGGGAGGTGACAGATGGGGAGGCCATTCTGCACCCACGGACACCTCTGGAGCAAGGTGCCCAGGAGCAGAGAGCACGCTGGGGACCTCCCAAAAGACGGGGACCAGACTTAGTCAGCAGGACAGGGGAAGCGTAGGAGGCTACGGGCTTCCAGCCAGGGCAGGGACACGTGGGGGCTGCAGCAAGAGAGCGGGCAGGGCTGAGCCTCGTCCCCTTCACTTTTGAACCCAGGGAGAAGAGGCAGGGCAGCGGGGACAACCGAGAGTCGGTGGGGGCTGAGAGCAGGTGTTGGGACCGAGTCTCCTCTGGAGAGGACACAGCAGTGTCCTCTGGCAGGAGGCAGGGAGAGCCCCGCCCCCCAGGACCACACTATTCCCCAAAGCTCAGGGGATGGTGGTGTCCCGGGGGGACTCCTGGCTGGGCTGGGGACCACCTACTGTAAGGTCTGCCTGGAAAGAGCAGATGTCTTCCTCAAACGCCCGTTTCTGGAACAGCTCCTGTGTCTCCCGCTGGCACTGGCTGTGCAGATCCAGGAGCTCCTCAACCGTCTCCGTTGGCAGCTTCACCTGTTTCTCCATCAGGTCCTGGTACAACTTCACAGCCTCTTTCACCGCCGCCACGTTCACGGTCTGTGCCAGGGCCAGCACCGCGCTCTCCAGGCACGGCACCTCCCCGCTCCGGATGGTCTCCACGTAGGTCTCTGCCAGTTTGCCCAGCACTGCCAAGGAGGACCAAGGGTGAGAGATCTGCAGCCGGGACAAAACGCCGGCTCCCTTTCAGCTCCTGCCACGTCCCTGCTGCCCCCCGGCCACAGCCTTCCTCTACTTCTTTTCCTAACTCTCTCCCACCCCTGGATCGCAACATCCATGAGATCCAACTCCAGAGGTGGGGAGGGCAGCCAGCAGAAAGCCTCTCCCTTTCCCCACCTGCATCATTTGATCCTTCCCCAGACGCAGTCCCAAGAGCTGCTGGCCATCCAGCCCTCCGGACAGCCCTACTCACAGCTCCCCGTGACGATGCGGCCTCCAGGGATGGTCTTAGGTGGAGACTTTTCCCAGATGTGGCTGCAGAATTTCTCCACCTGCTGCTGGAATTCCGGATCGATCTCATCAACCTGAAGCTCCTCCAAGCGGGCCAGGTCCCTCTTGGGGGCCGGCTGGTCAAAAACAAAGCACTTGCGATCCCGAAAGAACTGGTGGATGTATTCCCGGGGCTGGTTGTAGCGTTGGATCTCGGAGCTGCTTCCTGTGGGGCAAGAGGACACGGAGCAAGTTCCCCAGGCTCGGGCTCTTGTTGGCTGACACCAAAATGCTGCCAGGGTTGGGGCTGGAGGTCTCCAGCAGCACAGCACCATCCCCTTACCAGCCTTCAACGTCAGCGCCTTTTCCAAGTATTGGTCCTCAGAGATTCCCTCCCCATCCACCTCCAGCTGCAGGGTGAAATCCCGCACCGTCCAGACAAAAGCCGGGAAGAAGGGGGCAACTTCTTCTGGATCCTCCTGCTCCTCTTCCCTCTGCCCGGGCGTTGCTTTCAACCTGACCTTCTCGGTCAGCTTCATCACGTAGCTGGGGAGCTGGCTAAGGAAACACCTCGGCTCTGACCGCAGGGGCACAGCCATCGGGCAACCACTCTGCAGGTCATGGGCAAGAGAGGAGACTCTACGGGGACAGAGAACAGCCTAGGACCACCAGAAGGAAGAGGGAGAAAAGCCCTCAGCCCAGAGGTCCCCAGCGTGGCACTCCTAAGGACACAAAGCACATCCATGGACAAGACCAGAAGGCCGTTTGGGGAGCTAGGATTTGTCAACCCCTTGCCCATCCCACCGGGAGAGGAGCCCATCCCTGGTGCTGCTGTCCCACCAAGGATACTGCAGCTGCTCCATGGCCTGCTGGTCAATGGTGCCTCTGCTGTTGTAGATCAGGGTGCTGGAGAGCAGGACTGTGAGCACAAAGATCCAGGTGTCGTTCTTGGTGTCACCCTGGAGGAACAGCCCTTGGCTCTTATCAACAAGACCCACTAAGTATGAGCAAAGCCCCACACAGCCAGACCCTGAATGTCCCTTTCCAACAGGCAATTGTTAGACCAGGTTTTGGAGAGACCCACCCCCATGCCATCACCACCCCTTTCTCCAGGTGGGCTCATCCTGGCCTCACAGAATCCCATAGTCAGAGAATCCCATGGGGTTGGAAGGGACCTCTGGAGACCATCTAGGCCAACCCCCTGCCAAAGCAGGTCCTCCTAGAGCAGGTTGCACAGGAAATTGTCCAGGCGCATTTTGAACGTTTCCAGAGATGCAGACTCCACCACCTCTCTCGGGCAGCCTGGTCCAGGGCTCTGCCAGCCTCAAAGTGAAAAGGTTCCTCCTCATATTTAGATGGAACTTCTTCTGTACAACTTGGTGCCCGTTCCCTCTTGTCCTGTCACTGGGCTGCACTGGAAAATGTCTGGCCCCATCCTCCTGACACCCACCCTTTAGCTATTTCTAGGTGTTGGTCAGATCCCCCCTCAGCCTTCTCTTCTCCGGACTAACCAGACCCAGGTCCCTCAGACCTTCCTCAGAAGAGAGATGGCCACACAGCTCAAGCAAAGAGCTGCTTTTTCATTCTCTGCTGCTCTTTCCCAGAAAAGCAGAGAGATTTGGCCCCTTGTCTACCCCAACCTCCTTCCCCATGGCCTCTAGCACACAGGCTGAAGGTGCTGGGAGCCCCTGGGCTCTGGTCCCTGGTCACTTGGATGACAAAGTGCTGGGAACGTGCCAAGGCAGCTGCTGCTCCTTCCACACCTTCTCCACGTCGCCCAGCCCTTCCGTGTCCAGCAGCACCAGAGTGTGTCCAGGCTTGCAGGGGTGAGGGACACACCACATCCAGACCCCTTTGGTGTGGGACTGCACGCCGGAGCCCAGGGAGAAACCTGTGGGGAGGATGCAAGGGCCTCACCAGTGTTAAATAGACGGAGGAGGAGAACCCAGGTCCCCTGAACCTCCGGGATGGGACCTCCCTCACCTTTCCTCCGACCAGCCAGCCTGTTCATGAGGTAGGACTTGCCGGTGCGGTACAGCCCTGCGATGGCCACCACCACCACCGGCTGGGTGATCTCGGAGAGCACCTGCAGGGCCTCCTGCTGAACCACCAGCCCCTTCCTCCGGCTGTTCTCAACGAGGCAGATGGGCTCCGGCAGGTGGATTTCTGATGCCATTGCCGACAGGAAAGGCAGCCTGCGGAGGAGAGGGCCAGAGGGGCTGGTTAACGAGCTGGTTAATGACACCCCGCAGTCCAAAGGTGTGTCTAAACTCATTATCATCCTACTGTAGCCTTTGGCCAAGCTACAACCCTTCTTTGCATCAAATGCTCTGCGCAAGGACCTGAGCACCACTTGGGGGGCTGCTGAGAGGATCATTGCGGGCATGCCCCCAGCAACGGCCTCGAGGGCAAGAGGACAGGCTGGAGAGTCCCACCAGCCCTGAGGGAAGGAGAGGTGAGGCCCTGAAATTCAAGCTTAGGGCATCTGCCCGTGACTTCTTTCATTATTATCTTATGCCCAACCCCATCTGACCCCCTGCTGGGCCTCTCACACAGACACACGTGCTGCACACAAGCCCGTGAGGGGCTTCCATCTCTCCTTTCCTCCACCCGTGCATTCGGGAATGACACCCTCTCTCCAAGCTCCAGCCCTTTGGATTTGTGACCAAAAAAAAAAAAAACAAACCCCAACATGAAAAGCGCAGGGATGTTTTCTTTCTGGCTGAGCATTGCTCGCACAGCCCCGAGGCCTCTTCTGCTCCTCACACCCCCAGCAGCGAGGAGGCTGGAAGGGAGCAAGAAGCTGAGAGGGGACCGAGCCAGGAGCGCTGACCCCAAGTGACCCAGGGGTTATTCCAGACCATGTGACATCACGCTCAGCAATGTAAAGCTGGGGGGAAGAAAAAGGAGGCAAGGAGGGGGCTTTTGGAGTTATGATCTTTTTTTTTCCCCCAAGAATCCCTTGTTTTGTAATGATTTTATTGCCACCCACAATTTTCCTCACAATTAGCTTTCCGGTTCTCTCCCCCCTCCCACCGCAGCAATCCAGCGGCCGTGTGGGGCTGGGTTGTGGCTGGGGCTAAACCCACCCCCACCAGCCCCCACCATCTCCCAAGCCCTCCAAGGTTCCAGTGGAGGCAGCACAAGGGCTCATCCCATGCACAGACCCAGAAGCAACCTATGGACCCCCCGGGACTCGCTCCAGCAACAGAGGAGGCATCAGAGGAAGGGACTCCCTGTCGCCTTTGACACCTGCCCTGGGCTGCAGCAGCTCTTCCTCAACCTGGGTCCTCTCCAGCCTTTTATCCCATGCCCTGGGAGAGACCCACTCCTGCTGTTCCCAGAAACGAGAGTGGGTCCGAGAGACGAAAGTGAAAGCCAGCAGCTCAGCACAGACACCCAGAAAAGGCAGTTTAATAAGGGAAGGATAAAGGATCCTGATAAAGGATGGAAAACCAGGCGATGCACAAGCAAACGCTCTCCTCCTCCCAGCTGCCCAGATCATTTCAGAGCTACACCCACCTTGGGAGACACCCCCCCAACTCTTTCTTCCTCCAAACCACTTTTTCTTGCTCAGCCTGACGTTCTCAAGTGTGGGCAGGTGGTGAGACGCAGGAACAGGTTTCCCAGAGGAGCTGTGGATGCCCCGGGGGAGCTGTTTGTGACCCACCGTTTGATGTGCTCAGGGTCAGGTTGGACTGGTCCTCGAGCAACCTGATCTAGTGCAAGATGTCCCTGCTCATGGCAGGGGGGCTGGAACTGGATGATCTTTGCAGGTCCTGGCCAAGTCCACTCCTGTCCTCTTCCCCACTCCTGAACCACTCAACGGTGGGGCAGTGTGAGGAGCAGAAAAGGCCCTGGTGCTGTGTAAGCGCTGCTCAGCAGGAACAAAACCCTCCCTGTGTTATCAGCCCTGCTTTCAGCACAATCCGAAGCACAGCCACACACAGATCACAATGAAAGAATTGACTCCACCCCAGACAAAACCAGCACAGGGTGAACAGGGAGTTGGGAGGGGACACGTCCGGGACAGCTGTCCTCCAACTGACCATTTTGTATTGCCTGCACACGCAGCTTTGGCTTTGCATTTTTAAACTCACTTTGTCTTGACCAAGTGTCCCGGTTGGAGATAAAAGAACAGACACTTTCTGTTCAGTAATTTTGCTTCTTATCTCGGCCTCTGCCACCTCTCTGAAATTAACAGCATATTATGGAGCAAAGGGCTGGTTGTCAGAGCGATAAGACCAGTGTTGGTACTTCACGCCCAGAAACGCTGTGCTTATATTTATTGCTATAACAACAAGGTCAGCTCATTTTGTTATTTGCCCTATTGGAGGGTCAGAAATGGAAGTAGAACAGTCCCACCTGAGGGGAGAAGGTGTCCCACCTGAAGGGAAGGCAGGAGTTCAGCCACCTCCAGGAGAGCAGGGCTCCATCATGTGTAGGGGTGGCTCTGTGACTCCAAACATCCCCTGTCTCTCTTTCCCCCACCTTTTACTGCTTGAGCAGAGGGGCAGGGGGTCTGGGAGAGCACTTGGAGTTGTCCTGGCTCTGTCCCCTCTCAGCTTCTTGCCCACCCCCAGACTGGTCGCCTGTCCTCTTCCCCCTCCCACCCGCTGAGGTCCCTGTCACCCACGGGGGTCAGGAGGAGTCATTCACAGCCCCAGTGTCCAGGGCTGCTTTCACGGGGTGGGGAGGAGGCATCAGGGGAAAGGACTGACCCACCGTTGTCTTCGTCGCCTGCCCTGGGCTGCAACAGCTTTTCCTCAGCCTGGGTCCTCTCCAGCCTTTGATCCTGTGCCTTCAGCCAGACCTGCTCCTCCTATTCCCGGAAATGAAAGTGGGTCTGAGAGACGAAAGTGAAAGTGCAGCTCAGCACAGACACTCAGAGCAGGTGACATAAAGATGGTTTAATTATTGACCGAACAAGAACCTGAACTCCTTCTGTCACAAAGTCTGAAGGGTGGATGAGGGACAGGCTGTGGATGTTCCCCTGGACTTTAGTAAAGCCTTTGACACTGTTTCCTGCAGCATTCTCCTGGAGAAGCGCATGGCTTGGATGGGAGTAGTCTTCACTGGGAAAGAACTGACGGGAGGCTGGGCCCAGGGAGTGGTGTGGAATGGAGCTAAATCCAGCTGGCAGCCGGTCATGAGGGGTAGAGAGGCTTTGCAGAGGGATCTGGACAGGCTGGATGGATGGGCCGAGGCCAACGGGATGAGGTTCAACAAGGCCACGTGCCGGGTCCTGCCCCTGGGTCACAACAACCCCGGGCAGCGCTCCAGGCTGGGGGCAGAGTGGCTGGAGCTGCCTGGTGGAAAATGACCTGGGGGTGTTGGTGGCCTGTGGGCTGAAGATGAGCCAGCAGTGTGCCCAGGTGGCCAAGATGGCCACCAGCATCCTGGCCTGTGTCAGGAACCGTGTGGGGAGTAAGAATAGGGAAGGGATCATTCTCCTGTACTGATGAGGCCCCACCTTGATTGCTGTGTCCAGTTTTGGGCCCCTCATGACAAGTAAGACCTTGAGGTGCTGGATATTGTCCAGAGAAAGGCAGCAAAGCCGGTGAGGGGTCTGGAGCACAAGTCTGTGAGGAGCGGCTGAGGGAGCTGGGGGTGTTCAGCCTGGAGACAAGGAGGCTGAGGGGAGACCTTCTCGCTCTCTCCAACTACCTGAAAGGAGGGTGTGGAGAGGTGAGGGTTGGTCTCTTCTCCCAAGGAACAAGCGATAGGACAAGAGGAAATGGCCTCCAGTTGCATCAGGGGCCGTTTCCATTGGAGAGTAGGAACAATTTTTACACAGAAAGGGTTATCAAGTGTTGGAAGGGGCTGCCCAGGGAAGTGGTGACATTGTCATCCCTTGAGGTGGGTGAGACGAGCAGACGTGGTGCTGAGGGACACGGGTTAGGGGTGGTTTTGGTCAGGGTGAGGTTGAGGCTCAGACTCGATGATCCGAAGGGGAACGTCAAGCTCAAGGGCTGCGATGATGATGAAATGGTAGAGCCCAAGACCCTTTGGGCAGCGCCATGGAAGGAAAGAAGTGAGGGCAGGAACATCAGTGACTGCTTCAACCTGTCTCACAGCTGGTCCTGCTGGAGCCCAAGGGGCACCTGGAGGGAGCCCAGAGGGGACAGCAGAAGTGGTGCCTCGGGCTGTTCCTCTGCTGCTGAGCTGGACCCCTGGGACGGAGGGAGCTCCTGGCCATGGGGCAGCGCTGCAGAGAGACAGCTCTGCCCGGGAGCAGCTCCTCTGCCCAGGGCTGGGGGCACCGCCTGCAGGCACCCAGGGGGGAACAAGCGAGGCAGAGAGAGCTTAAAAGCCTTCAGGAATGGGAAAAAGCTGAGAGCTCACTGCAGGAGAAACCTTTACAGCCCTTGACTTGGTGCGAGAAACGAGATCAGTTTTGCTTCAGCCAATTGATGTGTCATCATCAGTGTGATAGGACTGACAAAGAAGCCTTAACAGTAGTAAAAGTCCAATAAATTGTATCTAACTAATCCTCACGGACGTTCTTGGTTGCGTTGAAATGTCCTTGTCCCCAGAGCATTATCCAGGTGAAGAGAAACAGCCTGGAACGTGTCCTTCAACCCGGGGACCCAAAAGATAGAAAAGTCTCAATAAAACTGAAAGAACAAGGTTTGGGCAGTAAATCTGCTGGGGCGACAGGAAAGGCTGCCGAGGGGGGCAGCTCACACCGGGGGGGGCAGCTGATGAAGAGGAGGATGCGACCACCCGATGAAGAAGAGGACCCCCAGAGGGACTGTAATTACTTATCCTGGAGAGTAGGTGGCGGCAGAGACCGTGAAATAACGCATGGCGTCACCAAACTCATCAAAAGTGGGTTCCAGACAATAATTTGGGAGGGTGGGTGTGCACGTGCCTTCTCAATACAGTAGCAAAGATGTCAACTAAACCCACGACAGGTCGGGCAGAAGGGGAGCTCCAACTTCTCCGCCCACGAGAGGAGAGACAGAAGCGCAGGCGGCTGGGATAAAGGTAGAAATATACAAAAATTGAAAAATGACACGTGCGTCTACTTTTAGAGCACCCAATGCAGCGCTGGTTTCCTCTTAATACATTTTTTTAACTTTTGCTCGGGTGGCTTTGTCCTCTTCGAATTCTAAGACTGTGAGCCGACGTTTCTCCCATCGGTGAGTCTCCAGGGGCAGGGTTCCTGTGTCCCTGCACCCCCGGGGGCTGTGTGCTGGGGCAGGGACTCTCCCGCCTGCCAACATATTTGGGTTGCGGGAATGTCTTCAAGTAGTGACTGAACCATCTGGACCCATGTGGATGGACCGATAAAGACACACACAGAGACACACACACACCCCATTAGGGGGAATCCCCATCTCCCAGGCTGAGCCATGCATTCAAGAAGAAAACCTCTGCAGTGCCCACCTCTCACAGGCCTCCAAGCAGAGTGGGATTTACTCTGCTTGACCCATATCAGCTCATTTTCCTTCCCCTGCCCATCCCTGCAACTCTCAAGACTACGGGAGCTTTGGCTTTGGCATCATCCCAACATCCTGGGACAAGGTTTCTAAATGCCTCCTTTGCAGCTTCCCCTTCTTCCCCTTCCTTTGTGCGTCCTTTTTTTCCCTGAAGCCCGGTCAGTTTATACCAGCATCCTCATGAGATGAATCCTTCTCTTCATGGGTAGATTTAGAGAGAACATTCTTGTGCTTGGAGGAGGCTGTCCCGTAATGCCTATCAGATCCCCAGAGCTCCTTCACCCTCCAGAGCTGCTTCCCAGGGCACCACTTGTCTCAGTCCCTCGAGTACATCAAAGTCTTCTCCTCTGGAGCCCACCCCTCTGTGCTCCGCTGCTGGCCTTCCTCACTCTTCCTTGGCACCTGGGACCCCACTATTTCCTGGTCACTACAGCAAGGCTGACATTTTTTGTCACATCCCCGACCAGCTCTTGCTTGTTGGCCAGGACCTGATCCAGGTGAGCATCACCCTGCCTGGCCCACTGGGCAGCTCTGCTAAGAAGTTGTCCCAAAATGCTCCAGGCTGCTGGCACCCTCTTACTTTGCCAGTGGATGCTGGGGACCTTATGGTTCCTCATAGGAACCTGCTCATTAACCCAGAGACTTCTTCAGCCTGCTGACAGAAGACTTACTCTTCCTAACGTGCCTGATCAAGCAGTTTAAAACTTCCCAGACATTGTCACCC